ATTTTTTTTTAAATTTTATAATGGTTTAGTTAGGTTTTCAGTAAACCATTATAAAAATGAAAAAATAAATGGTGCCACACTAAGGTGAGCCTCATACAGGCCATGGTCTTTACAATCACTTGCTATGTGTCAGAGAGCTGGGCAATAACTAGGGAGGATAGAAGGAGAATTGATGCTTTGAGCTGTGGTGCTGGGGAAGAATATTGAACATACCATGCTAGGAAAATGAATAGGTTTAACCTGGAGAAAGTTAAACCAGGCCTCTCCTTGGAGGCAAGGATTCTGCAGTTTTGTCTGACATACTTTGGACATGTTGCAAGGAGGGACCGGTCCTTGGAGAGGGACATAATGCTTGGGAGGGTGGAGGGACGGCGCAGGAGAGGAAGACCTTCTAAGAGGTGGATTGATTCAGTGACTGGGGTAATGGGGGTAGGTGTGTCGGAGACAGAGCAGGGTTTAGGGCTATTTTACATAGGGTCACTATGAGTCAAAGGTGACTCAATGGCACATAACAACAACAACAATGGTTTACTTAGAAAGTTCCTGAGATGTCAAATCACATTACCAAGCTATTTATTAGTTGAGCCCAAAGTGTACCTTAAATTTCCTGTCTCCTACTGTAGGTCTTAACCTACTGCTCACTTATCAATTATCTTGTTATCAAGTATTTAACATTTACAACAATAGTGAAAAGTCTACCTGCCGAGCTATTTTGCCATTTAAGAGCCTCAACGCATGGTGAAAGTAGCTTCACAGTGCAGCTCTCTCCGCAGCCTTCCAGGAGGGTCTCAGAGCAGCCCTGGATGGGTTTTAACACCCTATGCTGTCTCCTGCTGGCTGAAATACTATGTTCAGCTGCTGTGTGAGGCTGCTGGCTTCTTCCAGGCCACAGCCTCAGGTCACATTGAAAGTATGCACTTAACTACGGGGCATTTGTTCTGGATTCCAGGCTCCCACGTAGCCCTGAGAGCTTTCAGCTTAAAATTACTGTGTATGGTAGGAAGCAGAGAAAGAAAAGAGCATTAAAGAAGTGTTTGGAGAAAATGCCAGTTTTCAAATAATATCTAGTCTTTGGATCTTAGCCAAGTTAACTGAGGAGTTAGTATCTTAGTTCTCTCAGTAAAATCTCTAACAGTACTCTCAATCCAGCATCAACTGCATGAAACCAGGCAATAATACTCTTATTATGTTTTGTGTATTATGATCATCAAGACAGAGTGCCTAAGATCTGGTTGCTCTTCAGTATTCATTCTGTATATTTTATGCATAAGTTGCTCTAAATGTATGTTGTCGGGACAATTAATTTTGTGCTCCTTTTGTTTTCCTTGGCTGTTGCAAATGTTCAGTGCTCTTAACTGCTAATGAAAAAGCTGGAGGTTCAGTTGGAGGTTCTACTTCTGAAAAATCAGCCATTGAAAACACCGAGCAGTGCACAACTGCTCTGACACACAAGGTTGGAATGAACTGGACAGGGACTGATTGTAGTTTTGGTTCCTTAGTTTTATTTTTCCCTGTCCATTAGCCTAGCATTCTCAATGACAGAATTATAAGTGAGCAACTATAAAGTGTGTGGCACAAGACAGATAGATAAACAGTACAAAGAAAAGTGGCAGAAAAGGATTGATCTAATCTTCTTTTTTTGTCTTAAGAGTGATTGTAATGACTCTCAATGACTTGCTAACAGAGAACCAGAGAAATGGAAGGAAAATGCTGCCTTATAGACCCTCCTAGAGTCATGGTGGCACAGTGATTAAGAATTCGTTTGCTACCTGAAAAGTTGGTTGTTTAAACTCAGCAGTTGCTCCTAGGGAGAAAGATAGAACCACTTGTTTCTACAAAGATTTACAGCCTTGGAAACCTTATGAAGCAATTCCACTCTGTTGACAGGGTAGTTGTGAGTTAGAATTTACACTAGTACTGAGTTTAGATTTTTATATTGTTTCTTCAGGAGGGACATAACTGTCGACTTTATTAAGAGATAGATGGAGGTTCTAAAGGAGCTTATTTTAGAATGAAGAGTAAAAAGTGAAAGAAGGATATTATCTATAATTGCTTAGGGCATCTATTTAGACCAAGTACCTAAAGATTGAGCTTAAGAATGCAAAAAAAATACCACGTGATAAAGATGTTACTGAAGTGAACGTTCTTTTCCTTGTACCACTGTCTTTTTTACTTCATCCCCCTTCAATTTATAATGATGAAAATACCAAGGGTATGTACTTTAAAAAAACAAACAAACAACAAACATAACTCATTGCTGATCCTCCAGTGGACTTTTGGAGGCTGTAAATTGCACAGGAGTAGATTCCTCTCTTACTCTGTGGAGCTGTTGGTGAATTTTAACCACCAGAGAACCTTTGAGTTCCTAAATTCTATGCCATCAAAGTCTCATTGAGTCAAAACTGACTCAGCTAATCCTCCCATGAGTTTTCAGAGAAAGTTACTTGCCCATCATACTCCACAACGTAACTGGTGGATTTGAACAGTGTGCCTTGCAGCACAACTTCTAATCCCTGGGCCACTGGAGTGTCGTGTGTGTGTGTGTGTGTGTGTGTGTGTGTGTGTGTGTATGTGTGTGTGTGTTTGTATGTGTGGGCATATACAAAGAGAGAAGGGAAGAAAAAAAAAAACAAACCCAAAATGGATGTCAGAAGAGACCCAGAAAATTATGCTAGAATGTCGATAAGTCAAGAAGAGATGTTGAAGTAAAAGCTGAACAGAAGACTTGAGTTGCAATACTTAGATATGGTATGGGCAAAATCTTGAATGATCCAAGAAACATTAAGTGAAGACAGAGGGAAGACACAGAATCACTGCACCAAAAAGAATTGGTGGACAAGATAATATTTCAGGAAGGACCACATATGATCAAGAACCAATGGTAATGAAGGAAGAAGTTTAAGCTGCATTGAAGGCATCAGCAAAAAAAAAATAAGCCCCTGGGAATTGATGGCTATTGACATGTTTCATATGACAAATAGAGCCCTGAATGTGCTTACCAGTCTGTGCCATGAACTTTGGAGGGCAACTGCCTGGCCAACTGACTGGAAGAGATTCCTATTTATTCTTATTCTAAAGAAAAGTGGTTCAACAAGATGTGGGAATTATCAAACAATATCATTAATATCATATGCAAGCAAAATATCACTGATGAATGTTGAAAAACAGAAATGTATAGAGTACTGCCAGACATTCAAGCTGGATTTAGATGAGGTAGTGTCAACTGGGATATCAGTCATTGCCATTGTCAAATGGATCCTGGCTAAAAGCAAAGAATACCAGAAGAATATCCATTTGTGCTTTAGTTACTATGCAAAGGCATTTGACTATGAGGCTCACATAAACTATGGTTAACATTGAGAAGAATGGAAATCCCAGAACTCTTAATTGTGCTCATGTGAAACTTATACATAGACCATGAAGCTATTGTTCTAACTGATCAAGGAACACTACGTGGTTTAAAATTAAGAAAAGTATGCATCAAGGTTGAATCTTTTTTCCATATGTATTTAATTTGTATGCTGAGAAAATTACTAGAGAAGCTGGATTCCATGAAGAAGAATGTGGCATCAGGATTAGAGGAAAACTCATTAGTAACTTTCATTATGCAGATGACATAACTTTGCTGGTTCAAAGTGAGAAGGACTTGAAATGCTTGCTGCAAAAGGTCAACCACTTCAGCATTCAATATGGACTGCATTTCAATGTCGAGAAAACACAAATCTTCACCACTGGACCAAGAGACAACATAATGATATATGGAAAAAAGATTGAAATGATCAGTGACTTAATCGTACTTG